CTAGAAACAAGACACCATGCAAGCTGGATCCAACAGCTTCTCAATGACTCAAAAAAAAGAAAACCCTCAGAATTAAAGGAATAAAGGAAAAATTAATGACTCAAGGATATAAAAATTAATTTATTGAGGGGAAAGACTGGAAGTCACTTTGCCTCTGCCTGCCTCCGTGCTCCCTTAAGTCCTGCCCTCCTCTAGGTCTCGTTCAGGAAGAGAGGGGCGCTGGGCAAGAGGCAAATCCTGAGGAATGGTACCGAGCCGGAAGGCGACGCCAGCCTGCCTGTTCCCGCAGCCAGGAGCTGGGGGCGCTGCTGAGTCTTCCCACCAGGGCTGACAACTTCGCTACACTGATGAGACTTCCACTTGGCCTCCCTCTGTGCTGAATTCCAGAAAAATCGGGAGCTAGAGGATCCTGAGGCCCGGGAGAAACAGCTGGAGAAGGACCTGGTCTTTCTCCGCAGCAATCTGGGTCGGGTGGGGCACTTGTTTAGGATCCTCAGCTTACTTTTGCACTCTAACTGCAGGAAAAGAGGCCAAGGGTGCCTCCTGTGGACACTCCTGCTCACTACCCGCCTACCCCACCTCCCAGAAGCAGTAAGAAGCCCTGGGTGAGCAGTGGCAGGCGCTGGGGAGTGCAGAAGCAAGTAGGATGACACTCAGTGGCACAAGCACCTGCCTGGCAAGCGCAAGGTCCTGAATTTGACTGCTGGTACCAAAAAAGAAGAAAAAAAGGATGACGATGGCATTGACACGGCCATGGATTTTGTGCTTGCCAGCACCCGGCTGGTGCTGGGGGTGGGTGAAGCAGCCATGCTGGACATGACAGGCTGGCAGATAAGCAGAAGTATGATCAGGCAGTCAGTACCCTACTAGCCTCACCTGCCTGAGCCATTCAGGGAAAAGGAGCTGCAAAGAACCAAACTGGATGGGCTCTTCAGATTGCTGACCGAGGACGTGAAGACAGGCCTGAGCCAGTCCCTGCAGACCCTTCCCAGAGGTTCCTTGGCCTTTGACACAGATACATTCTGCCTGCCCTGGCCCAAGTCACTGGCCAGGAAGGGCCAGGGAGACTTGAAGAAGTCACAACTCTGCATGTCCGTGCAGGAGAAACTTCTCATTACCAGAACTGGACAGCCATCCCTGCAAGGGAGCTGCCTGACACACCACTTCGGGACATGTACTAGTACGGCAGCTTCTAAGATGACTGCAGATGGTTACCGCTGACCATATCCAACTCATGGCTGGAGTGATATCCAACTCATCCAACTTGTGCTGGAGCAAAACCTGGGGTTTTGCATCTGTGGCTTCTTCCTGGTTTGTCACGAGAACTCAGAGTACTTTTTCCTCATGGTATCAGTTACTGGGACCACTGTGAAATAGAGGGCTACTTCTCCCCAAAGACAGTGACAGACATATTTAAGAAGGTAGTGACAGCCATGGTGGTGCATGCCTGTAATCCCAGCACTTGGGAGGCTGAGGCTGGAGGGTCGCTGTGGGTGTAAGGCCAGCCTGGGCTACATGGTGAGTTTGAAGCTAGCTTGAGCCATATAGTGAGACCCAGTCTCAAAATAAAACAAAACAAAACCAAAACCAAACAACAAAAAAACAATAAGAAGGTAGTGACTGGCTCCATTACTGTCCAGCCATAGGGGCCCTCTAGACTATGTGATCCAACCAGCACTGCCCCTTGATGCCCTGACACTAGACGTACAGTATAAGCGCACAAACAGCATTGACTTTCTGCCATTGGTGACCCTTGGAGACACTGTCTTGGTGACCAGACCACACCGGCTAGCCCAGTGTGACGGACTGCAGTGACTTGTGGTCCAGCAGACACAGCACTTCTGTAGGCTTTGGCCCAGGCAGACTCAGGCTGCCGATCTGTGTGCCTCAGGATTCTCCAGGCTATGTGGAAGCCCACCCCAGCCCTGGGCCACCTCACTGCCAGCCAGCTAACCAATGTCAACCTCCGGTTGGCCCAGGAGGAGGCTGACTGGTCTCCAGACTTGCTGGCCAATCGTTTCCTGCAGGCTCTGAGGGCACTCGGCAGCTGCTTACAGGCTGGAGTCCTGCCCAGTGCCCTGAACCCTAGCAGATACTTCTTTACAAGCTCATCCTTAAGGAAACAGGTGAGTCGGGCTACACTCTCCACTGCTCCTTGTCTGAGCTGGAGATGCTGCTGCAGATCTAAGGGCAGATAAAGGCCACAGCAGGTGTTGGCCCACAACTGTAATCCCAGCACTCAGGAGGCTGAAGCAGGAGGACTGCCACAAGTTCAAGGCCAGCCTGGAATCCATAGTGGATGCAAGGCCAGTCTGAGCTGCACTGTGAGAGAGATAATAATTGCAAATATTTATGCACCAAATATCAGTGCACCAAGTTCATAAAACAAAAACTACTGGACTTAATAGGACAGACAGACAACAATATGATCATAGTAGAAGCTTTTGTACCCCATTCTCACAATTAGACAGGTCAACCAGACCAAAAAAAAAAAACCAAGAAAAGAAAAACCATAAGAGTTAAACCAGACCATTGACCAAATGCACTTTACAGATATCTACAGAGTGTTTCACCCAACAATGGAATACATTTTCACAACAGCACACGCCACTTTTTCCAAAATAGACCATATGTTAGGCCATAAAGCATGCTTAAATTTAAAAAAATTGAAGTAATATTCTGCACACTATTGGATCATAGAGGAATTAAGCTAGAAATTAACAGCAATAGAAGACACAGAAACTACACAAACACGTGGCACAAATAACACACTACTGAATAATCAGTGGATCACAGGAGAAATCAGGGGAGAAATAAAAAGTCTCTAGAATCAACAATAGAAGCATAACATCCCCACACCGATGGAACACCATGAGAGCAGTTCTAAGAGGGAAGTCTATAGCTGTAAATGCACAGTAAAAAGAATAGCGCCATCCCAAATAAATAACATAATGACACAACTCACAGACCTAGAAATCTAAATTTGAAACTAACAGAAGGAAAGAAGTTATAAAGATGAGAGCACAAATTAATGAAATAGAGGATAAAAAACAACACAAAGCATCAATGAGTCAAAGAATTGGTTCTTTGAAAGGATGGGAACTGGATTGGGGAAGGGAAGACCGGAGGGAGGGACAGGGGAGGAAGTCAAAGGACCAAAGTGTGACATGCGTGCCTACCAAGTTCTCTGCCAAGAAGGCGTTTCACAATACATACTAATAAAAATCTGAAAAAGAGTTACACCAAAGCCCTTGCTCTAGTATTTTACTGTTAGTTTTAAATTGCTCTAATAATACACACTTGAATAATTAATTTCAGGGCCGAGGACCAAACCCATGGTTCAGTGAGTGCTCACCACACGCTCTACCACTGAGCTGCACCCAAAGCCCTAAAGAACACTTATATGTTAGAAAGAGTCAGGAGAGACAGCTTTTAAGCTGTGTATAGTGATGGAGAGAGAGGTTATACACTATTTTCCTTTTCTCTAAGTGGCATTATTTTCTCCTTTGGTTCTTTTCAAAATTTCTATAATGAACATTTTCATCATTATAATTAAGAAAAAATGAATCATACATGAGGCCCTGGGTTCCACCTCCAGCACTAGCAAAAAAAAAAGAAGGAAAAGAAAAAAATATACAACACATTTTTGAAGCAAGAAATCAAGAAATAAAAAAGAGCACAGTTAATATTGGTAGGATGATGAGAGAAAATATTCGCTTTTTGGCTCATGAAAGAAAATAAGGCCAGCTTGGCGCATGCCTGTAATCCTGGCTACTAGTGAGTCTGAGGCCAGC